AAATAGCGGTGAATTAAGGGCGGTAAAGAGAGGAACCTTCCAAATATCAGGCATGTTCATAGGCCAAGAGGCAGTCGTTCGAACAGAACAAGGGGATACTACGTGGTTTAAAGTCAGGAAAGATGTGTTTCAGGGTTGTATCCTTTCACTATACTTGTTTAATCTGTATGCTGAGCAAATAATCCGAGAAACTGGACTATATGAAGAAGAACAGGGCATCAGGATTGGAGGAAGACTCATTAACAACCTGCGATATGCAGATAACACAACCTTGCTTGCTTAAAGTGACGAGGACTTGAAGCACTTACTGATGAAGATCAAAGACTACAGCCTTCAGTATGGATTACACCCCAACATAAAGAAAGCAAAAATCGTCACAACTGGACCAGTAAGGAACATCATGATAAACGGAGAAAAGATTGAAGTTGTCAAGGATTTCATTTTACTTGGACCCACAATCGACACACATGGAAGAAATCAACTGACTTATTCCATTGGGCAAATCTGCTGCAAAAGACCTGTTTAAGGTGTTCAAAAGCAAGATGTCACTTTGAGGACTAAGGTACGCCTGACACAAGCCATGGTATTTTCAATTGCCTCATATGCATGGGAAAGCTGGACAATGAATAAGGAAGACTGAAGAAGAATTGATGCATTTGAATTACGGTGCTGATGAAGAATATTGATTATAGCGCTGACTGCCAGAAGAACGAACAAATCTGTCTTGGAAGAAGTACAGCCAGAATGCCTTAGAAGCGAGGATGGCGAGACTTCATCTCACGTACTTGTTATCAGGAGGGACATGTTATCAGGAGGGACCAGTCTTGGAGAAGGACATCATACTTGGTAAAGAGTTGGTGAAAAAAAGGAAGATGCTTAACAAGATGGATTGACACAGTGGCTGCAGCAATGGGGTCAAACACAGCAATGACTGTAAGGATGGCGCAGGACCAGGCAGTGTTTTGTTCTGTTGTACCTAGGGTCACTATGAGTTGAAACTGACTTAATGGCACCTAACAACAACAATGGTTAAAGGCCAGGGGGTGGCCTGTAGAGTTTCCAATTAAGTTTATCCAAAGAACTTGGCTTTTATCTTTGGTTCCAGAGCAATAACCTCTAAAATCCTGGAATTTCCCCAGTAATCGAGTCTTTGATGAGGGCTCCAGACCACATCTAACCTAACAGGTTATGCTAATGAGGTGACTCTTGGGTGGAGGCTGGCCAGGCCAGAAAGACCCATAGGTGATATCAGCCTGGTGATATTGACTGACCTCAGAGGCAGTGGGCTGGAGTTTGAATTACATAATGAGACCCCAATAAAAGCTCTGGACACAGAAGCTCCCTGGGCTTCCTGGTTGGTGAAAGACATCTATGCATGTGGGAGGATAGCATGTCCCTCTTTGGGACATGGAATCTCCATCCTGGGAACCCTCCCAGACCTTGCCCTATGGATCTCTTCATTTGTATCCTTTTTGTTATAAGAAAACTGGAAGTATAGAGTTTTCTGCGAGTTCCGTGAGTCATTCTAGTGGATTACTGAATCCGAGGGGGTAGTGGGAGCCAGAAGATCGGAAGCGGGGGTGAGGGGGTGGGGTGCTGGGGATCCCTGAGCTTATGGATGGTATCCTGAGGGGGTAGAGAGAAGCTCAGAGTTTGTAGTCAGCAGGTTAGAAATGAGGGTGTGCCAAGCTTTGGGCTGGCACCTGGGATCTTGGGTAGACTTGGCAGTCTTAAAAACTGTGCCCTTTATTAACGGTCTGACTGAGACTGGAAGGACCCCAGAAGACATGGCACCCAGACTCTCTGTTAGCCCAAAACTAAAACCATTCCCAAAGCCAACTCTTCAAAGATTAGACTAGACTGTAAGATATAAAATGATATTCGTGAAGAGCGTGCTTCTTAGCTCAAGTAGATACATGAGTCTAAATGGGCAGCTCCTGTCCGGAGGCGAGATGAGAGCAGAAAGGGACAGCAGCTGGTTGAACGGACACGAGAAATCCGGGGTGGAAAGGAGGAGTGTGCTGTCACAGCATGGGGAGTGCAACTAGGGTCACATAGCAGTGTGTGTATAAAGTTTTGTATGAGAAACTAACTTGAACCATAAACTTTCATTTAAAGCACGATAAAAAAAAACAAAACTGTGCCCTTTAACTTGTGAGGTCTGACCTCGCTCCGGGTGGCTAAGGTCAGAGGAAGAAGTGCTGTGTGTGCAGCTGGTGTCAGAACAGAGGGGAACAGCAACGATAATGAGTTGGTTTGATTTTCACAGCACACAGCAAAAGGAATTTTGCTGATGTGATTAAGTTAAGGATCTGGAGATGGGGAGATTATCCTGGATATCAGGGTGGGCTCAGTGCAATCACAGGGTCTTTATAAGAGAAAGGCGAGAGGTCAGAAGGCAGAAGACGACGTGACAACAGAAGCAGAGGGAGAAAGGACGATGTGATGTGGGGCCATGGGCCAACCAAGGAATGAGGACAGCCTCCAGAAACCGGAAAAGACAAGGAGACAGATTCCCCTCGGAGCCCCCAGAAGGAAAGCAGCCCTGCCAACGCCTGGATTTTAGACTTCTGACCTCCAAAACTGTAAGACAATAACTCCATGTTGTTTTAAGGCCCCCAGGTTGTGGTGGAGTCCCTGGGTGGTGCAAATGTGCTGAGCTGCTAACCGAAAGGTTGGAGGTTTGAGTCCACCCAGAAGCACCTCAGAAGAAAAGCCTGGTGATAGACTTGCAAAAACCCAGCCACTGAAAACCCTATGGAGCACAATTCTACTCTGACACATGTGGGGTTCCCAGGAGTCGGTGTTGATGGCAACTGGTGGCTTTCAGGACCGTGCAGAGAGTGGACTGAAGGGGGACAGGGACAGAAGCAGGGAGAACACTGCCGTGGTCCAGCCAGAGGTAGAGGGGCGGGGACCAGGGTGCTGGGGTGCGGGTGGAGAGAGGTGAGGTGTGATTTGTGGGTGGAAATGACATGATTTACTGAAAGGCTGAGTGGGGCTGGCCGGGGGTGGGGGGCATCAGGGAGGACCGAGCTGCTTAGGGAGAGTCCCACTTGGGAAGCAATGGGGACAGCATCACTTACCTGTGCCATCAGGCCCCTTTCAGTTGTGACAGAAACCCACCCTGCTGGCTCTAAGCAAAGCAGGGCAATGTATTGGCTCACGCAATGGAAACGTCTTGGTCCCCAGTGCTCAAGCAGCGACCCCAGGCCCTGTATCTCCCCCATCTACTCACTCCCCTTTCTTTGGAGTTGGCATCATTCTCAGGCTGCCTGCCCCCACAGAGCCAGATGCCACCAGGGCCCCAGCCTGGCATCCTATTGGGACATCAAACTCAGCAGAAAGAGGCTTCTTTCTAGAATTTCCATAGCCCAAGTCTCAGAGGGGGGTCTCACTGGCCAAGCTTGGGTCACACGCCCAAACTTGAACACATCACCGAAGTTAGGGGGCTGCAGGGCTCTGACTTACAAGGCTGGGCCCATGTGTGCACACTGGGGACCCCAGGCAGTGCAGCCCCCCGGGAGCCATGTGGACGGAGAGAGGGGAGGGGTGGGTCTCCTGAGGGCTGGGAGGCAAACAGGCGCCACCAGCAGCACCTGCACGGGCTGCCGTGAGGATTGTTCCAGGGCGGGGCCCGGCACAGGCTGGGCCTGGAGCTGTGGCTGGTACCTCTCCTGGACTACTGGCCCTGGACGCTGCCCCCTCGCCTGCCCAGTCCTGATCTGGTGAGCCTCTTCCTGCACTCCTGCCCAGGACGGCAGGGCTGAATCCTGACCTTCCAGCTTGGCAAGCTGCCCCCACCACGAGGACCCTGCCCTTTCCTGCCAGGGTCTCGGGTTGTGGATTCCAAATGCTGCCTGGGAGTATTGATACCAAGAAGGTGGGGTGCCTACCTGCTCCGCCCACAGCAGGCTTCTGCCTGCTGTCCCCTCTCCCGCCCCCACCCCCCCAATGTGGGAGAGGAGCTCTAGATTTTAGGGTGTCTAAGATCAGAATTCACCACCACCACCCACTGCTGTCGAGCTGACTCCGACTCAGCAACCCTACAGGACAGAGTAGAACGGCCCCATAGGGTTTCCTAGGCTGTAAATCTTTACGGAAGCAGACTGCCACAGCTTTCTCCCAAGGAGCGGCTGGTAGGTTCCAATCCCCCACCTTTTGGTTAGCAGCCAAGTGCTTTAACCACTGCGCAACCAGGGCTCCTTGATCAGAGTTCAGGTCCTCCATATTTCCATGAGTTCTGGCAAGATGGGGCTCCTCGCAGCTGCACAGCCAGGCAGCTCTCGGGGCTCGTAGAGGCCTCAGTTTCTCCCTAGTTCTTGGTCTTTGCTGTCCGCTCTGTTCACACCTGGCCCCCAACACCTGTCCACCTCCACTCACCATAGCAGGATGACAGCCGCTGTTTTAGCCACACCATCTCTCAGTCCAGCAGGGCAGAGGGAGGCTCTCCCTGCAGCTCCCACCCGATTGGCCCGGCTCAGGTCACATGCTCATTCCTGACCATCCGTAGCCCGTGAATGCCGCATGCTGACTGGCCAGGCCTGAGTCACGTGCTCCACTCCTAAAGCCTCATCCAGTCAACCTGGGGAGAGCCTGGAATGGTGAAATCCAAAACTACAATCAATAGTCACTGCAAAAATGAGGCCTGGATGCAGGGGAGACAGGAAACGCATGCCTACCACGAGATCAACCTCAAATTATGAGGCGAGAGAAGCTTGGAGGGCATTAAGGAGCTTGCTGGGTAGGGAGCAAGGGAGCCAGGCCCAAGCCCATGGTTTGTTCCTAAAGCTGCTCCCATTGGGACCACACAGCATGGGGACCCCCACTCTGCTGGGCTGGCCTCCTGGGGCCCAGGGCTGACCCTCCAGAGCCCGGGGTGCAGACAGTTCCCTACCCCACGCACTCAGCCATAACCTATCAGCTCTGTGGGCTTTTACAAACGACACTGGCCAGGGGTCCATTTAAAAATCATTTTATTATTAACATCATCTTCCCATTTAGCCAAGTGTCTGTCGTGTATAAGGAATGTCGGTAAATATCCCATTTGAAGCTTCTTTGTACATATTTCCATCGATAAATAAACTCTGAATTCACATAAAAAAGTTAAACTTAAATAACTCATATTTCCTTCTCTTGTAACAGGCATATATTGGTAAAATATAAATATTCTTGGACTCAGGCTTTGTTCTAAGTGAGGGCAGGGATTCATCACATGGTACAATTATTGACAACAAAACTAAGAAATTGTCAGCTGGCTCCTGGTTCAGACTAGTACTGAGGTGGGAAACGGAAGATTCACATTTGGTTTCTGGGCCAGGGGAGGGGCAGCAGTGATGGTGAGGAGAGAGGTTTTTCTTTACAGCTCTGATAAAAATAATCTGTTCTGCCACTGCATTTTAACTTCGAATATATTCTTCTACATTGGCTGATTAATTCCATAATCATTTTACTTAAAACTCAGATGTCAACTAACAAAATATGGCACATAATCCATTTGGAACAATGTCAGGAGGTTCAAAACTATCATTGGGCTGAAATGATATGGACAGAAATGCATGTGGAGAGAGTGGGGATTCGGGGGTAGTTTGGTTAGTTCATTGTGGTCAATCGAACATTCATCTATGGCCTCAGTGCTCTGTGTCAGTCACCCCCTGGGGGCAATCAGACATCCCTGGCGCCCCCGGAGGGGCTCAGAGCACGCGGGGGATGATGGTGAAGGGCACGGCCGGGCTGCTGGCCTCCAGCTCCAGGGCCGTCAGGAAGCACTCGGTGGCTGCTGTGTCGTTACCCTGGGCTTGGAGGACCTCGCCCAGCCCGTTCCAGACCTCGTGGGCTGTTGAGTTCACCTGGACTGCGTCCCGGAGGATCTTCTCTGCTAGACTGTAGCGGCCCAGCTGGTGAAGGATCAGAGCCTGCAGGCATTGGAGAGACAGACTGTCAGAGAGACCCTAAGAGCTCTGCGCTCCTATTTGTCCTTGAGTTTCTAGCAAGTTCCTGGGAGGTAGGAACGTATCCCCCATTGTGCTGGGCATGTAGTCAGTTCTCAAATACTTCCTGCACTTGGGGGTAACAGTCAAAATAGTCACTTGAACCATATGAAGTTGCCGGCATTCAACCATTTTTGAACCATAAAAATGGCAGTTTCACATGGTTCATCCTATTGCTTAACCAGGAATCAACCAATCGGAAGGGTCACCTGCACAGCCATCCTGGCTGGTATCAGCTGATGCCTGCCTGCATGGAACCATACCCCTTGGCCACCCCCCCCCTTTGTTTTTTAAATCTAAAGAAATGTCCGTTATGGCAATCATATAATGATTGTACCAGATTTTTAAAAACTGCCCGCCGTCCCCCTTCCCTAACCAAGCCCCTGATCTCATTTTCCCCTGCTTGGCCCCAGATGCAGCTGTCACTTTACAGAATTTTAATCAGTGTGTATGTGTCGCTCCCCAAATATCCCATCATAACCATGTTCCTAAGTTACGCGTCTCCAGAACTGATCTTCTGTGTACACTTCATTCAATGGATGTACTCATTTACTCAGTCACTCCCCTCATGGTACACTGAGGTTGTAGCCAGTAAACTGCGCTGCGATGACCGTCTTTCTGGATATTGCCTCTTCGTTCCCTTAGATCAGTAGATTTCAAATACTTTTATAGCCCTGGAAACCTTTGGTTAAATAGAATCTTACTCAGAACCCCCACAAATACTGTGAATAAAACAGACAAAAAGGAACTGCTCTGGGTGTAGAACTATGGGGGAGGGCTCAAAGACCTGCAGACTCCTCACAGTGGCCCTGCTGGGGACTTAGTGGAACCAGTGCGACAACTATTTACACATCCTTCCTTGAGGGCAAACTTCCCCCAAGTGGTGTCAGAGGATAGGACTCTTTAGTATTCTCCAAACATTTTGCAAATTATATCCCCAAAGGGTCGTATCATTTTTTATCGCCATCAAGAGCACCGGTGGCCATCTGCCCCCTCCCCTTACTATCATCACTCTTAATTTTTGCTAATTTCTTAAGTGAGAAATGTCCAAAATGCACCCCCCTCCTCTTTCTGGAAACCTGAATCTGATAACAATTGAGGTTAAATGTTTCCCATACAGAAACACGTGGAATAGAATTCCAAATTCTTATGGAATCCAGACTTTCTGGAGCCACGGAGGCTGGATAAACCTATGAAATTGCTGCCCTGAGATAATCTTTAAACCTTAAACCAAAAAATATCCCTGAATTCTTCTTTAAACCAAATAAGCTAGCTTATTTAGTAAAGAACCTTTGCCTTGACCATTGTGCTCTTGTGAAGAACTATCTTGTTGTTATTGTTGTTAGGTGCTGTCAAGTCGGTTCCGACTCATAGCAATCCTCTGCACCACAGAATGAAACACTGCCCAGTCCTGCACCATCCTCAAAATCGTTGTTATGCCTGAGCCCATTGTTGCAGCCACTTTGTCAGTCCGTCTCGTTGACGGTCTTCCTCTTTTTCGCTGACCCTGTACTTTACCAAGCACGATGTCCTTCTCCAGGGACTGATCCCTCCTGACAACATGTCCAAAGTATAGAAGATGGTAGTCTTGCCATCCTTCCTTCTAAGGAGCATTCCAAGACAGATTTGTTCATTCTCTTGGCAGTCCATGGTATATTCAATATTCTTTGCCAACACCACAATTCAAATTGGTAACAGCAACCCGAAAGGTCAGATAGGAAGCTTGGGGGACAGTGAGTTTATGTTCATGGGGGAGGAACAATTCGGAAAAGGAGGGTGAGAAAGGCTGCACAACTTGAAGAATGTAATCAATGTCCCCGAATTATACATGCAGACATTATTGAATTGGTTTATGTTTTGCTACGTGTACTTTTGACAACAACAAAAAATAAAATGTTTCCCATACATTTGTTACCACCTATCTTCTTCCTCCTGGGGAGTGGTGGCTTTGCACTGTTAGCGGCATGTTTATTTCAGCCTTGATGCTTTTGTTGGTACACAAAAAGATTTTCATGCTTTTCTAGCCTGTTCTTTGATGTTTGAAATTTTCTTTGAACCAAAGTTTTTCGTTTTTAAAATTGAATTCGTTGGTCTTTGGTGATTTTTTTTTTTTTGTCACTTCAAAGCTTAGAAAGTTATCCTTTCAAAGAACTGACAAATGTTCAGTTCTATTTATTGTGATTTGTCTTTTTTTTAAGTAGCTAACTACTTTACCTTGGCAGATGATACAAATCTAAATGCATTTCTTCTACTTTGCTAGACACAAGCTAGCTCATCCCCCCAACCCCCCATAAGGTGCTTCCTTTGCCAGAGTGAATTATGACACGAAACGGTCTATTTTGGGGCTTTTGACAATTTTCCTGTGAGCCACAACACCTAACTTTGCATCAATGCCACACTGTTTTAATTTGTTACTCCAAATCATGTTTTCACAGTGGGATTAGAGCCTTTCCTCACTGCTCGTTGCTTTTAGTGTATCTCTGATGATCCTGCCCTCTACTATTACAGATAAATTTTAAAATCATTTTGTTCATTCCCTTTGGGAGTTGAATTGTAACTGCATTAAATCTCTAAATACACATGGGAAGCTGGACATCTAACAATGTTTAGTCCCCACCCAGGAATGTGACATGGCTACCAGCTGTTCAAATCTCCTTGTCCATTACCCAACAAACCCTTGCATTTTCTTTATGTGGCTTGTGCCCGTCACCAATGAGGCATCCCCAGCTTGTTCTCAGGCCCGACTTCACCAACAGGCAAGGGGCAGCTGGGTGGCACTGGGAGCCTGGGGGCAGAACCAGCGAGCGCAGTTGCATGAACATGCCTGCCCAGGCTGTAGACAGGCTGGGCACACTCCGGGATGACTGCCCAATGGTAGCTCTGTGAGGGATGCAGAAAGTGCCTTCAGCAGCCAGTGTCCAGGCTGGCTCCTGCTTGGGTGACCTCTCCCCAGGGAGTGGGGCCCTGGAGGCAGCATCTGAGGGCCTGAAAAGTGGCCTGACTCCCAAGAGTCACCAGCATCCACTGAGCAGCCACTGGAGCTGTAATGCCGACTGAGCAGAGCTCGTGGTCCCATAGGGGACACAGCTAAGGAGACCCACAGCCCTCAGGCAGAGTGGTGAGTTCTTGGGGTCGGGGAGGACCTGGCCACAGAAACCCATGGCCCTCAGCCAGAGTGGTGAGCTCTTGGGGTGGGGGAGGACCTGGCCACAGAGACCCATGGCCCTCAAGCAGAGTGGTGAGCTCTGGGGGGTGGGGGGAAACCCAGTCACAGAGATCCATGGCTCTCAGAGTAGTGAGCTCTGGGGGTGGGGGACGACCTGGCCACAGAAACCCATGGCCATCGGGCAGAGTGGTGAGCTCTTGGGGTGGGGGTGGGGGGAGAAGCAGAGGGGTTGGCACTCTGTGCTCCACCCCAGCTTTGGGAAGGGAGAGGTGGTTTAGGGATCTTTTCTGGTCTTGGAGGAAGAGGAGGGGGCTACCTCAGACAAAGGGCCACCCAACACTGGCGGAGGGCACAGTAGGCTTCAGGTCAGCTCTAGCCACTGTGGGAGGAAAACCGGAAGGAAGCCCCCTGTGTCCCCTGTTACTAACACCTAAACATGTGTTACCGGTGACCACGCGGGGTCCCTGGTTACGAACAGGCCCAGCTTGGATCTGCCAGAAAGGTCTTGGAGTGGCCACACGTCTGAGGGCAGGGCCGGGACAGACACCTGTGTGAATGTGTGCTGGGGAGCCAGGTCCTGGGCTGGGGCTGGGGGAGTGAGAAAGGGGTGGAGGCCGGGCCAGATGGGAGTGTGGTCTCCCTCCTTGAAGCTTTACAGTGAGAGGTGGCTGGAAGTCAGAGCTCGCAATTAGGGTTTCACCTTTGCTTCCGAAATTGGCTCTCCTCAGACTCTGGTGTGAACTGCTGGGTTCTGGCGCCTTCCCAAGGCAGGTCAGGGTCGGGGTTCCCAGGGGCCACCAGCAGAAGTCGCCCAGCCCTGTTTACCTGCGCAGCCACTATGGAAGACCACTTCCTGTCTCCACAGCGTTTGCTCCTCACAGCTGCCTCCCCCAGAGCTCACTCTGTCCACTCCTCCATGAGGGGTGAGGGAGCTGAGTGCCGAGAGGGCAAACCGTCAGCCATGGACCCTGGCTTCCTGACAGGATGAGTAACAGTGCTAATAACAGCAAGCACTTTCATAGTGCTTATGACACGCCAGGCACTGTTCTCAGTGCTTATGAGTTTGCTCATTTAATTCATCTGGGGACACCCAAAGCAACTTCACACTGGGCACGGCCACGACACATGTGCGCCTGAGTAGGAGACCTACTTTTACTGCCTGCCGTGGAGGAAGAGCCCACAGCCGGGGGGCACCTGTTATGTGGTAGAGAACTATCCCCATGTGGTAGGTGTCCCTACCCCCATTTTGCAGGTGAGTAAACTGAGGCTCCTAGATGCTGAGTCTCTTGCCCACAGGCGTACAGCTAGCTACTGCGGGGCTAAGGCTAGAACCACATGTCCTAACTCTAAGGCTGCCTGAAATCCTTTGGGCGTGGGGTCCACGGTAGATGTGTAGGTGGTAAATGATCAAACCCATCCCCTAGCATGGTGCTCTTCCCACTCTGGGCCTCCTTTAGACAAAATCTGCTAACTCCACATCCTCACTTCCCAACCTCCAAGGTCAGACGGAGCGGATAGGGGGCCACCTTCCCAGGCTGCAGTCAACAGGATGTGAGGTCTCTGTCCCTTTTCTTCTACGGGAGGTTATCACCTTGAGTTCACTTTAGAACATTCCTATGTAACTGTTATGGATTGAACTGTATCTCCCGAAAATGTGTGTCAACTTGGCTAGGCCATGATTTCCAGGATTGTGTTGTCCACCATTTTGTGATCTGATGTGATTACCCCATGTGTTGTAAATCCTACCTCTGTAATGTTA